ATTCAAAATATTGTAATTAATACAACAGCGACAATAATACATAGATTGAAGTTAATTTAACATCTTTATTCTCAAAAAAACAGCCAATAAAGGAAAATGCATGTATATACTAACATCCTCTTAAAAGTTAACAGTGAAACTCGAAAAATTAACTTCATGAAGCTGCGCAATACCATAGTAAATAAACCGCTTTATGCGGTTATCAATGAGGGCAGTTTATGGTCACTGATTTTTAGCCATCAAGCAAAACCACAACATTTACCAAAGATAAGATTGACATTTGATTGCAAAGTCCCTTAATTATATAAACTGGTTTGACTGTAAAGAGTGCAGGTTATCTAAGCTTTTATACACAACTGATATGATATAAAAAGGGATAAGAAGATTAAATCACGGCTACGGGCACGGGAAAGAATGTGATCATCATAAATCGCACGCCGAAGAGTAGTAATAGCCGAAGAGTTTAATCATGCAGCATGACAGAGAAGACAGCTGTGGATTCTAAATCGATTTTGAGAAATTGAAACAGTCATTCGAAGATCGAGTTACTCCATTCCGTTCTATATTTCTTCCGGGCCACATCGCAGTACTGCACAGCGAATAAAAAAGTTAGCAAAATTTGAATTTAGCTGCGAAATAACTTTAAATAGGGACAGAACCTAGAATTAACGCATTACTATAACAATTAATTCATTTAGGCAAAACCTCTCAACCGAACCTCGTGTAGCAGCAACTATTTGCGCATAGCATTTAAGATTCTTATATTGTTAACTACCTTGCAGTGGAAATGAATCTCACTGGAGCCCTTTGATCAAGCTGGGAAATAAATCTACGGTAATTTTACCATGTCTCCCCTTCAACCGGCACAGGAACTTAATTTCCAGACGTAGGATAAAAAAATACTGCTACTTCAGTGGCTTTCCTTTAACGAATGCAACGTCAGTAGGAGAGTAAGGGTCTGTATCTGTTCTAGAAGCAGCCATGGTAGCTATGATGAAGGACTAACACAAATTTGTTTCAGACTTTAGGCTGGGCCGGGTACGCCTTTTCTGTTGTTCAAATCTACTTCATATATCGCATATTGTTTTCGATCATATTCAAGGAACGACTCTGGTATGTCTCCCAAAACAGTCAAAAAATAAGTGTCGTACACTCTGAGAACTAGATACGAAAGGGTGATAAGAGGCAGGCTGACCAGGCTAGATCCCACAGCACACTGCAAGAAACAAATGCTCCTGATACTCAAAACATTTTGGACTACCTAAGAACAACATTTACTTTGGTTCCAACACTTAACTACTCAATTGTGAATGAGCATTCTGAAAAATCAACTTAAGCACGAAAAGTATCACACTAAACATTGAAAGCGAAACGTGGAAAACTTGCTATTAAATCGTAGTGCTGTCTGTTTCACCAGTTATTTAAGGATATCATGAGAACTGTAACATTGTCTCCACAACCGCGCTTGATTGCTTCAGCCGTTAATATGTAGCAGAGACGCAAGTGCAGGTCTTTTGGGGGAATTCCGTCCTGCAACATACGACGAAAACAGTTCACATCAGCATCACATCCCACCATCTTCCCGCTAACCTGATCCCCAGCAAGGGATTTCTCTAAACGGTCTTTTGTTTCTTTAATAAATGCAACCACTGATCCGTTATCCCAAATTTTCCAGATTCCATCACAGGCAATCAGGACATAACTAAACAAATCATTTAAATCAAACAATGCATAGGTGCCGTGAAAATGTAACAAGTATTCAGCAAGGTGTTATTGGCTCGAGTGAAAATGATAAAACAAGGTGCGCAAGCGTCACACCCTTACCAGTGAACTGAATTATTCAAAAGGTTAAAATTATTGTTCAAAAGCACTGTGCATAATTAAAGTCATAAAGCTGAGAAAAAGCTTAAAGCATGAAAGCATCTGATGAGATGAAAAATTCCAAACAATGTTCTAATAGTTGATCTCTACTAGAGTCAGAACAGAAGGAATAATTAAATTAGATAAAAGAAGCTCAATTTTTCAAACCAGCGAAATTCACATTTTAATGAAATAGTTTCAAAATCTAATAAGGAAAACAACTACAAATCAGATTCCACCACAGTTATCCTGAATAATGATCGTCATCGTTAATTATTAGTATTTGGCAGAACTGCATCAGATATATAACTCTGATTTGAAATCTTCTGAAACATTTAAACAAGTAAAACTAGAAGGCTTATTAACTGCCTTGGTGCATCTCAATGAAAACCCACTGTGCATGTTCTCACGCTTGATTTTGAGTATATTGTACATTTCAAAATTTTAGAAATGTTACAGAATTACATTTATTCGTTTAACTGGAACGCTGCTAAAGTAAGTATAGAATCTTTCAGTAACCGCTTCGTTTCACTTTTACTACTAATGGTAGCACATAAAGGATGAACAATAAAAAAATAAAGTAGAAATGTCTAAAGGAAGTACTCAGAAGAAGTGGAATGATTCCAGTAAGTGGTTCGAAAAAACTGAAAAGAGAACTCCCGAAGTCAGAAGTTAGGGATAAAATGTTAAGCAAAAGGCCTTGATTCCAAGCGAAGTTCCTTCAGAAACGCAGAAGGCACTGGAACAATAAGGCATGATTAGGCAGAAAAATAAAACCCGAACTTACGGGTTTACTAGCACATTGCTAGCTTTTGATACCGGTATCGAAAACTAAAAAGGCACGATTAGTTCTGTTAACTGTGATATTCTTTCCAAGTGGCTTTCAGGAACAACTCAGAATAAGACTTAAGTTACAAAGCCATTTGCGGGTAATTTTCGAGACCTCGGTGTTCCTGTTGTACAGCTTCAAATATCGCAAAAAAGGAAATTCAGACCAAACACGATTCACACTTTGGTTATTTGTTTTACCCTTATACTTAATGCCTCTGAATTTCAGAAGTTTCATCTGAGTCAACTTACTGCACACATATTGTGCATTACTCCTATGTGGTTGCTGTGGGGCCCTTTCTCGGCACTGATTCATAAAATAACGGAATGTGAAAAGATGCAATAAGCACGGAGGAAAAACATTCTAACGTCAACAAACACAAAGAAACAATGCATATTGAAGTGTAAAATCTATTATAAAACCTAACCGCTGAGAAACAGAAACAAGCTGTATGAAAGGATAAGGAAAAGAAGTTCAGAGTTTCCGAATCAGTGATAACCAGGTTGGTTTTAGGTCAGACAGAGCAGGGCACAGATCAACGCATCATTCTATTACAATCAACCATTGAGACATAAAACAACGAAGTAAGGGAGGTCTTCCTGTAAGTGACAAGCGGTTATTACAAATTAAAAGAATTAATGTTATCGAGTCTCCGATATGGAAAGGCAGTCTAATAGTCCTTAAGGACCCTCATATCAAGAAAAATGACAAACTTCAGAGATGGAGAGAGGACTTTGAGAAACTCTTCGACATCGAGCAACCGCAGGGAGACTCACCTGAAGAGCAGCAAGCAGCGGATATTACCTTTTAAGCAGATGAAGTCGCCAAGGCTGCAAAAGCCAAAAAAGTGGTATGGCTGCCGTAAATGATAAAATCTACTCAGTGATGCTGAAAGCTTTTGGCAGACAAGGCATGTTGTGGCTGACACGTGTCTCTCAAACAGCAGTGACTACAGGCGGTATTGAAAACTGAAGCGGTAGTACCCGTTCAAGAAGGAAGATCGTAGTCAGTACTGAAACTATCGGAGAATTACTTTATTCAGAGACTACTGGAAAAACTGTATTCAAAGATGTTGGAAAAGAGCCGTGGAATAATCGGCCCAAGATTCAGCAACAGAAGCGTGGCTTTCGCTCAGGTGGAAGCACCTCTTAAGATCTTCGCCAGATTATTCAGAAATCTTGGGAGATCGTTCATATGGTTTATAAGCGTTTTGTTGACCTGGAGAAAGCCTGTGATCGGATGCCACGATAGAAACCGTGGGAGTGTCTGCAGACGTGTGGGATCGATGGTTAGTTGTTAGGAGCCATGGATTCACTGAATGTTGAGAGCACGTCACGCGATAAAGCAAATGATTATGTGGAGACCTTTTATAGCTGACACTAGTAGCCGATAAGGGTGTATTCTGCCCACCCCCCTTCTGCTTGTGTTGCACATGGATAGGATAGTCAAGCGCAAACAGGGCGAAGAGTGTATCAGCGAAGCAGACGTAGAGACAAATCAGCCATTTGCCGTCAACCCTGTTTCGCTGACTTTGAGCGCTGTCTGGAAAGGTTCGCAGTCAGGTACGACGTGGCAGTATGCAAGTGAAAACCATAGTGCTTTCTCGTTCCAGTGATCGCTGCCCTCTGCAGATAAACGTGTGAACAGGTGAAGAAGTTCAAGTGTCCCGCGGTTGTATGCTGATGATGGAAAATGGGGGAAGAGCGGAGAATTGTACCGCCGAGTATAGAGTATATATATATAACTCCGCCATGGCCGGTCCCAAGCCCCGATGAGAATGGAGGAGGGTTGCAGACCGCGGCAAGTCTCCGTAAAATTCAGCCACCTGCCACTCATGGTATTGACGCCTTCGAAAATTATAC